CTTAAACACCTTCATTTAACGTTCTTACTGCCATGAGGTCATAGTTTGCAACAAAAAAAGATCAAATGGTGTTTAAGTTATTTTTTTTAAAGTATTCTCATACCAAAGAGCTGTAGTTGTGGATTTTGGCTCTTGGCCAGACAATCAAGATTTAGTATTTTGACCAGCTGTGATCCAATAATGTTCCTCAGAGGAAACATTTTGTGGGGAGGAAAAGATACATATTTGAGCCTGTGAATTGTATTCTGTCTTTCATACTGGTTTACAGTTTCCCTGAGCCCCTTGCAGACAGATTAAATAATCACAAGTGAGTCCAACTGAGGAGACTTTCATTTTATTAAAACTACAACTAGATTACAACTGGAATCTCTTCACTAGGCGAATGACTTTGGGAATATTTATGCATAATATTTCAGTCACTTTCTAAAATCTCATATCTACTGTGTAGAGTTTAACTTGTGCTTTAGGTTAAGACTACCCAAACAGACCAATTATTGACTAGTGAGCAATTAATTTTAGGAGAAAAAGGACAAGGTGCTGTAGATACATGCATAGTTGTGTTGCCAGTAAAATTTCAAACCAAAGCTGGACTATTTATGAATTGGCTTTTAAGATTTGAATGCAACTGGAACAGTGAGAGTAATTCTCTTATCTATAATGTCGCATAAATCTGTTGTTCTCTTCCGTTTTGCTTTTATTTTGGAAATCCTGCTTTGTAATAGAAATTTAACTTACTCTTATATGTAACTAGCTCTCAACTGATCTAACTTGATGACTAAAAGCCTTAACAGTCTGATGACAGTTCATCAAGTCTTTYATATTCTTCTGGTCTCAGGCCATTCCTTTTGGACAGGTATCAGCATCTGTTTGCTGTCTCCAAAGACTGACCAAGTAATTTCAGGTAGAAACAACCAGCTCACCCTCAGTAATCCAGGTCAAAATTGCACCTTGGAGTGGAACAAGCCAAACTGTTTTTCACTAGTGAGGATCCCTTGCAGTTTCTGAGGCTTCTAGGCAATTAGGATGTTAATTTTCAATGGTTACTTGTTGTTTCTATTGTTTCTATCTTATTTCTATTTCTATTTTTTTAATTCCATGAGTCATGAAGCTAATAGAGACCTTCTCTAGATMTTGCCTTGATGGGGTGCTATGAATTCCAGTAACAATATAGCCTTTTCCTGGAAAACACTAATAGAGCAGAGTCCCCCTGTCAGTTGCTTGTTTTCATGGAAAGCTAATAGCAGCCCAGTATTTTTGAACTGTAATTCTCTGTGTATGTTACTGCTTAGCCAAAAGTTTGATTTTTATTTCTTGTTGACACCTCCAGGGAGGCGAGAGAACAGGAAAAGAACCATTGACTTAACTGCCTAATCCATTGTAACTAGATGTGTTTTGTCTTTATTTTATTTGACTGCAACAGTGATCGTGCCCTGCTTAAAAAGCTCTCAGAATGCTTTTCATCTTGTGTTGCCTTCTAAACACTTGTCATCCAGCCTAAACTGCTTGCCTTTCTGCTCAAGAGGAGACATCTTAAGAGGATGACTGTAGATATCTGTCAGTCTGGTGCTGCCCACCCATCTGGAGGCACCATCTCTCCTTGATGACTTCAGGAGTTGAAGCATTGACCTGTTGGAAGGCTAATGTGTGGTATCCTAAGTGCTCTCCTTGTATCTAAATGCCTTAGCTAATATTTGATAAGCAGTCAAGCCATTCCATTGAGTTCATTCCCAGTTTCTCAGCTTTGGGTTGTTAGCCCCATATTCTTGRCTGAAACTAAAACCAACCCTATCCATATTTACTGGCAGTAGTACATCATTTCAGAAATCTGCCTGTGTATCTCCTATAGCTTAAGCCCTGGCCTTGCAGTCTTAGGTAAGGTCCATTTAATTATGTGAAGCTTAAGGAGCTTGGCTGCAAGTACTTCTTGCTTAAATTCATTAGCTTGAATGCTTATATAATAAATGAAGATGATTCCTCTTATATTGCCTTTTGGGACAGCCCTAATATTCCATTTTATTAGAACCTTGGACCTTTAAAATATTCTGTTTTAAAGAACTGTGAGGTTATTTTGTAGATGGGTGAGATTAGCTTTGTATTACTGCTATGTTTAGGCTGTTGGATCGCTTAGTATAGATCATTCTGCCAATTCAGCTTACTGAGGGAAGATTTTTTTGGCTGCTGCACTGAAGCAGTATTGTTCAGGCATACATACCCTGTCAGCCTGAATAGCCTTGTCATAACAAGCTTTTTAAGAACACTTCTGGATCTGCAAGCTAATTAATTTCTCAGCCATTAGCCTGGAAGGCCAAGACTTGCAAAGGAATTTAGGCCTATATGTTTCCCTTCAGGAAGAACTTAAATTTACATGCCTGCTGCAGGAGTTTGTAAGGATGCTTAAGATCATTAGATGCTGATTTCACATTGGTTTTCTTGGGCACTTAAGGCCAAGAAAACCACCCTTGTGCCTAAGTTAGTTTGCTGATGATGCAGTCTGGTACTGTCTGCATGTCCTACCCTTACAAAGAGTCTCAATCTAAATTTAAATCAAGCACATCAAAAGCACAGTCCAGTGCAACAAATAAAAATGGTAGGTAGTAGCGTTCACGTGGTGAAGGGTTTTTCCTGGGTTTTGATTTCTCCAAGGAGGACCTTACATCTTGCATGTTCATGTGTCTATGCAGCTTCAGTAGCTGGGACCAAATCTGGGATTGCATCCTGCTCCCCTTTTCCTGAGAGTCCTTCTCACCTGAGATAGCCATTAGTCTCCTGAATAAGAATAATCTCTTGGATTAGGAAATAAGAAACCCTTATTAGAACACTGCCTGTCATGGATCTGATTTTTAAATATCAAGCTTTGCTTTGCAAAGAACGTGTCTTACACAGTCATTCCTGCATGTAGTTTTTGGGTTCTTCTGACACTGCCAAGGTGCCTTGGTGAACCCAGATGTAAATTATCTACAAAACAGCTAACATAACATTTAGATGCATCTGTGTGTGATCTCTTATACCTTTAAAATAAAATCTCACGATATTCCTCTTTTAAATGTACATCTTATGTTATTCTATCTATGCTAATCTTGCTATTATTATTCTAAATGGGGGAATTTGCAGACCTCCTGGGACCAGTTCAGGAATGAATTCATATTTGACTCATCCCTGGCATTTTGATATAAACCAGGAAGAATGATTTCATCATTATTTTTACAGGAGATGTTAATACTGGAAACAGTTTTGGGGAATTGGAGAGTGATGACAAAATCTGGCTTTTGAGTTTGAAAAGAAGTCTATGAGCATGGCTGAAGCAAGGCTGAAAAAGCTAAGCTTGGGGAAGGGAAAAACAGGCAGTCCAGTATATATGTCTGATCAATTAAAGTTTGCAAGTGTGCTGACTTGGGTTCTTCTGTTAATGATATTACATGATTTAAAAAAAAAGTTAATTATGTAGCAATTGGTTAAAATATTCAGAAGTTATGTAGAAATGTCTCTTCTTGGTGGGTTGCTGAGGAGTAATCTCCAAGACTAAATCTACAGCACATTTATGAGCATCTGTGGCACTTGACTGCTTTGCCTTGTCACCTCCATGAAGTGTGCTCCAAACCGTTGCAAAAAGAGCTCTGAAATGTTGTACAGATTAAAAAAAAAAAAAAAAAAAATCCATTAAAAAGGTCAAACTGCAGCTGAAATCTAAGAAGGTAGTGATGTTTCTGTTGCCAGCTCTGTGTATGGTCCAGCTCTGTGTACGATGCCCGGATCTCTCCCTCACTGTCCTCTGCTATAGGTTCCAAAAAGAGCTTTTCTTTAAGGTAACTGGAGATTGTTAGAGGAGAGAAGGAAGCGCTGTGTGTGTATTAAGGGTCAGGCTGAGAGGAAAGGATATGGGAGAAGAATTTAAAGCTCCGTGCTACTCCACACTACCCTTTGTGAGGATGCTTATTTTGCAGAAGGAGTTTTTCCAATCCAGCTTATTCTACTTAGAAAAGGGAGCAAAAAATGGGGACCCCTGTTAGAGGCCACTTGAAGTTGGTATTCCAGAGTTTTTCTCCCCTGTAASAAAGATCCCAGAATATTTCAGGTCTTGGTTAGAAGAGGAGAGTTTCTTTCAAGTGAAACTAGTGAAGGAGACTCATACTGATGTGAATTCAGGCTTGGAGTGATGTGTTCTGGAGTTTGGTAATAGCTCTGCGTGTGTGTATATATTCATTATTTGGGAAAAAAAAGTGAATTGGTTACCTAGGTTAATGTRCTATATACTGTTTGCATAGAGTACGGTGATTATTATTTGAGCAAGGATTAACCCAAATGTCACAAWCTATAATTTGGAACGTTAAGCTCATGTCATATGAGGTGTGCGAGTGGTCTATTAAAGTACTAAAATTGAACATGTAAATTAAGCTCGTGATAAGTTCGTGTTCTGCAAGAATATATGTCCAAAGAGCTCTGGAACCATTGGCATAGAAAAGCAAAATATTTGGTAAAAGYAATCCTCTGCAAATAGCAAAATTCATGTGGCTTTTCTCCTTTGCGCAGCTGTCAGGAAAAGTCCACTGCTGGAAGAACTCAGTCTTGGAGAATTTGGCCACAATTACTCTTTGAGTTTGTGATGACCCCAACACAGGCCATAAATACATAAATATATGAGCAACAGTAATAATTCGCAATGTACAACTTGGTCCTATAAAATGGTGTTAATAGTGAGAAGTAACATAATGTGGTGGTTTCTTGGATGATTGACTCTTCAAACCATGTAGTTTTGTAGATGTCCCCTACATGATCTTAAGGGTTTTCAGTAAAACTGTCCTCTGGGGTGGATATATAGTGGATATAGTTAAACACATGGCCTTAAACAGATTTGAGGTTTTAGCACTTCAGGATGCAAGTGGTTGGCCAAACAGAGCTCCAGTTTGTGATAAAATAATTGCTCCCGTGTTTGGTTGAGCATCTGCACGGCTCGTGAGCAAGTTTGACAGCTGTGATTTATCCTTCTCTTTTTTTCCTACCAGTGATCGACACCACACATCCAGTGCAATTCCCGTTCCAAAGAGACAGAGCTCCAGCTTTGGCAGATTGGATATTGGCTTCTCTGGTGGGCTTCCTTCTCCGGATAAAGGACTCCGAAAACGAGCCAGCACGGGGAATGAAAGACTGCAGTACAAAACTCCTCCTCCCAGCTACAACTCGGCTTTAGCACAGCCTGTTGCCGTTGCAGCCTGTGTAGGAGAATTAGACAAAAAACCTGCACCGATATCTTCCTCCTTAGATACCTCCATGGACACCTCAAAAGCAAAGAGCGAGAGAGGAGGGGCTTTATGCAGCAGTTTAAACGGGGAAAACGGGAGGCTAAGCAGTACCCAAGATCATCAGGAGTCTTTCCTGGTACCTACTAGTGCAATAAATGGGGCGCTTCTGCCTGGTGAGTGCTCGGGCACAGCAAGCAACGAGCAGCCCTGCGAGTACCGGCCCTCGGCCTGCTGCACCGTGGAGCAAGCCGAGGAAATCATCGGCATGGAAGCCACCGGATTCAGCGAGGGGGACCAGCTGGAGGACTTCAACTCCATCCCGGTGGAGCACGCCGTGGCGGTGGAGTGCGACGAGCAAGTCCTGGGGGAGTTTGAGGAGTTCTCCCGAAGGATCTATGCACTGAACGAAAACATGTCCAGTTTCCGCAGGCCGCGGAAAAGTTCGGACAAATGAGCTCGGACAGGGGGGTTTCGGGGTAGCAGACATTGAGGTGAAATCAGTGATCTGGAACAGAGATAAAATTGCACTTATTCTTTATAGTAATTATGAAAAAAAGCTAAAGTTATTCCTCTGGTGTTAGACAAATGGACTTGTAACCGAGCACGATAACACAGGATCATGGTATATTCACAGCCCAGGTAAATTTTGATTCTGCTTCCAGTCTTATATCTATTATTTATGATCTGTTCAGTTTTCTTTTGGGTATCGAAGTCCATTGTGAAATGCTTTCCTGGGGTAAAAAAAAAAAGACTTCTAGTGCTGGTCAGGCCCTTCTATGAATATTTGTTTATTATTTTAGAGTTAAAATTTATTTTAATCTTTGCAGAAGAAAACGAAGTTAATTTAAAAATGCATTTATAGCAAGACCAGCAGACACACACCTCTTTACTTTCTCCCATGTGCTCCCATGGGGTTTTTTTTTTTTGAGCAGTGTAGTCAGTGTTACGGAAATACCATGAATTTGCTCTACCTGAACAGCTTTCTCTTGGCTGTGCTCTTTGTCTTYTGAGGTTGTAGTTTGCACTGATGGGTCTTCAGTTGGTGGTGTAAACTTGCCAGAGAACGAGCACCTGTGTGATACCTGTGGTTCCCTTGCACCTCATTAATCAAAGCATTCCCTCCTCCCTCTGTACTCACAGTTCGTACCGGTGGACACCTCAAGTAGAGGCTTTGAGGACTAAATCGTCTCTAATGTTTCTTAATTTTAGGTAAAAACCCTCAGCCTGACCATTCCATGCTTAGGTACAGCATTTCAAACCTCATCAGCAGAGGCCTAACAAATGCACTACGTAAGTGGGGCTCACCTGCCACATTCCAGGGTGTCTTGGGGGATGTGATCCGAGGCATTTCAGRCGTCTCCATAAAAAAGAAAACAGACTTGAAATGCAGTCAGCGCTGTGGAATTAGGTGACCTGGTTGAATCACTCCACCCCCTGTAGAAAGGAGGCACTTAGTGTTATCCATCTAAATCAATATCCTCTTAATGGTACCATCTGTGCTTTCAAGGAAGACACTTTCAGCAGTTTGCTAGAGATGCAGGTTGTTTTTTTAGGTAGGTTACCACTGGCACATGTGTTCAGCTGCACTAATGGGAAAGCAATTTGCAGCCTGCTTTGCAATTCCTGGTATTTGTTTGAGTTTGGATTTCATTGCTCTTGCTTTCTATATTGTATACCCAAGAATTTGGGCTCTGTTGTGAGCTCTCAAATATATATAAAAAAAAWATATATATAGCAGAATAAAAAAACACTTCATCATGCCTGACTTTTTTTATTCTCCTCCCTAGTTTATGCTTTCTCTTGAATCAGTGACTGAGGCTGTTTTCTAGCTTCACCAAAAGACTTAGCCTAAATTAATTTTTTAAATGTGGATATGTATAATCTCAGCTATCTGTTGTCAAAACAAGATGTGTGTGTGAAAGCCGGTATGCATAATAGCACTAGTTTAGGATATGCGTTTTCCAGGTAACAACTTAATGATTGTACTGAAATTATATTCACATTTCTTCTCTTAGCTTTTAACAGTTGTGTCTACAGTTGAGTGATTGGATCGAGCCTTTCTACAGTGATTCATTCTCTTTGGTGTGTTGCAATAACACGTGCTGGATGGAAGCGGTCACAAGGAGAGGCTCCAGCTCTGTAGGACATGGGAAAACGATTCCAGTTGCAGACTTGGATGTGGCGTTGGACATGCTGGACATGAGGAAAAGATAGGTGGGAAGTTTTCACCAGTTCTGTCACTGACATGTTGAGAGCCAAAAGGAAATAYCTGAAGCAAGCCCAGCACTTGCTGATGAAGTGGGCACAGAAATTAGATACTCTGTCCTCTGCTAGCAAAGAACAGTGGGAATCCAGAATAAACCCAGACACTGTCCAGCAGCGTCAAGTTAGTTGTGTACATTGAAGGGTGGAAGCTGGCACGCTCAAAACAGCACTAAACTTGCATTTTTTTAATACTCACTAATTGCCCTTTACGAAGACAAGGCATTAGCTTGTGTGTGGTGGTGGCTTCTCAAACCAACCCAAAGAGTAGCCATGGAGTTGCTCTCTTCCTTAGAGCAACCCATGCGATTAGGTTCACAAAACAGCAGCAGAACTCTCTTATTTCCATTAGCTGCACATTTTCTCAGGTTGCACACATCCAAATYGAGTCTAGTTTTTCTCCCCTCGCCTTGTTGCTGTTTGAGCCCTGTGCTTGTTCTTGTGGCAAACACAACTGTTGAGTCCTGCGTTGGTCTCGCAATGCTTCCTTGATGGGCTTTCCACAGAGATGTCTTTATTGGAGGTGTTGTTACATGTCCCCAGGTTTSTTTTCCATTCTTGCAGCTTATTATACAGAAGAAATAAGAGGGAGGACAACAGAACAGGGCTAATTAAAGCATTGGCAAACTTATTTTTGCTGTGAAGAGTGTGGGTGGGAACTGTACAGGTTGCAGCCATCTCATGACTTTTTTTTGTGATTGTTTTTTTCCCCTCCTTGTAAAAATAGTTTAGCGGGAGGGAAACAAATAGTAAGTTCTTAGGTGAGATGATATATCACAGTGTGCTTTAAACTGCCAAGAGCCTTTCAGTTCCTGCACAGCTGTGACTTTGTTAAATGTCTGCAAATCTCTTCAAGTGGAGAAAACATTTCATTGCAATCTCTTCCCCTCACCAGGAATTCCTAAGATTTTGAGAATATTAGTTTTGGAAGATCATATCCCAGTATATTTTTATAGCGAGCAAGACGGCATTGGCTTATCCTTGCTTGAACAGGTATTTAAAATGGACAAAAAAAAAAGTAAATGACACGTTAAAGTTGCATTGGTAATTGTGGGAAAGCTCATCGGTATTTATAAAATAAAACTGATTAGTATCTCTGAGGTTGTGTGTCTTTTGTTACGGGTCCCATCTGTGTTGCTCTGCTGACAGTCGTGATTTGGACTGCCATGTCCACCCCCTGGATTGAGACTCATCAAGCCTGAAGCGATCCAGACATGGTGAATGTTCTGGGTTTCCTTGGAGGCCACCAGGTTTTGGTGCCATGCAAGACAGCCCTGCAGTTGCTTCTCCTTCCAAAAAGATGGTTGACAGCTGGAAAACAGCCCTGGTACCTGGGAAGCAGCTGCGTTCACAGAACCTTTATGGAGAGTGACGCAGGCTCGAGGCCTGGGTAGAGAGAAACCTTATGAGGTTCCACAAGGACAAGTGCAGGGTCCGGCACCTGGGCAGGAATAACCGCATTCACCAGCACAGATGAGGGGTTGACCTGCTGGAGAGCAGCTCCAGAGAGCTGGTCCTGGGAGTCCTGGGGACACCAAGGTGCCCATGAGGCTGCAGGGTCCTCATGGTCAAGGAGGCCAATGGGCTCCTGGCTGCATCTGGAGGCCGTTGGCAGCAGGGCACGGAGGGGATCCTGCCCCTCTGCTCAGCTCTGCGGAGGCCAAAGCTGGAGCCTTGGGGGCAGCTCTGGGCTCCCCAGGACAAGGGGCACGTGGAGCTGCTGGAGAGGGGCCAGCGCAGAGCGACAGGGCTGAGGAAGGGCCTGGAGCARCTCTCGTGTGAGGAGAGCCCGAGCGAGCGGGGCCTGTTGAGGCTGGAGAAGAGGAGGCCGAGAGGGGACCTGGTCAGTGTGTGCAAGCASCCGAGGGGAGGATGGAGGCAGGAAGGGGCCAAGCTCTTGTGGGTGGTGGCCAGGGGCAGGCCAAGGGGCAGTGGGTGCAGGTTGGAGGCCGGGCAGCTCCATGTGGCCGTGGGGAAGAACTTGTTTGGTGGGAGGGTGCCCGAGCCCTGGTTGAGGCTGCCCAGGGAGGCTGSGGAGGCTCCTGCTCTGGAGAYSTTCCCAMCGCGCCKGGATGGAGCGGGTGCCCCGTGCTCTGGGTGTCCCTGCTGGAGCAGGGGGYTGSACWGGGTGATCCCTAGGGATTCCTTCCAACCTCAACCATCCTGGGAGTCTGTGGATGCTGTGTCCCCTCGTTAGGGAGATGTTACAGTTCATCCAGCACCTCGGGTGATCCAGGCTAATCCGAAACACATTTCTGCCTGAAAACCCCTATGTTCCTGTTGAAAAGGTGGCTGCTGTTCAAGGCTGATGAGGAGACTGTGCAAAACGCATCGAGTTTCAGAATATTTCAGAATATTTCAGAATATTTAAGGTTGCTGGTGGGAAACACTGTAAGATGAAGAGCTAAAGGGCTAGTGAAACACATTTATTTCTTTTCTCTTTTTTTTCTTTTTTTCCCACCCAATCCATCTGTCATCGGAGAGTAAAATGCCAAGACACTCACTGTAGTGCTCTAAAGCTGAAGGGGGAAGATGCAGGAGAGAAATTTTACTTTAATCTGTTCTGCAACATGCCCCAGCTTGAATACCACTGTATTTCTGTAAAGTGAATAATCGGCTACGAGGGCAAAAGGTTTGTATTGAAACACGTACCTGGAGGTGCTGCTTGGAAGACCTGACTTGCTCTAGATTAACTGTGGGCATTTTTGTACTCTGTCACCTTTTGAATGGACAAAGTACTCTTGACTTTAAAAAAAAAAAAAAAGTCATTTTTTGGCTTAGTAAGTTCTGCCAGTAACTTCTTTTAATACTAATTGAAAACAGTTCTATGTTTTGCCCTCCACCAAAAAAAAAAGCTTCTAATAAGCTACTGCATGTAATTGTAAGATTTCTTTTAATTGCTGATTATTTTTGATTATTTTGCTCTTGGTTTATTCAATCCATAGCATTAGAGAATAAGAATTAATATAAGAATAAATATAAGAGTTAATTTTAAGATATTAATAGTAATATCTTAATATCTTAATATAATAATAAATATAAGAATTAGAGAAGGGATAACATGATTATTGCTCTACCTTGAAGCATGCATAGCCAGTCTGCTCCTAAAAGCTTCTCCTAAAATGTCTGTGTCATTAAAATAATAAGATCAGTCAGGATTGAGGGGCCTCAAGCAACTTGTTCTGCTCACTGGTCTCTGTCTTCTCCCAAAAAGCAAAACCCTCCAGCTGGCCTGTGAGTTTTCACTTGGGATTTCCACGTGCCATAGGCAAAGCATATGCAAATACATGCAAAGTGCAAAGTCAGGCATTTCTTGGGGAAAAAAAATCCCCTTTTTGCTGCAGGACATCATTGCGGGATGTGCCCACCTTGCTYGACGAAGCTCTAAAGAAGGAATCCCTCTTCCTTTCTTTTTTTCATCTAATGCTTTTCTSGTGTTATTTTCATAAGGCTGATTTCAGTCATTGATGTGAGATTAGACTGGGCAGAGTTTGACTTGCACTTTTGACTGACCTGGCTATCACTAAGACCACRGCCGCTTTGTAAATTTGTAAATTTACAAATTTACAATTTGATTTGTAATAGTTTTCTCATATTAATCTTTTCTGCCTTCAAATATGGCAAAATTTCCCTGCAATCCAATACATCCTTGATGATTTAGTTGGAGACAGTGCTGTCGTGGCAGCACCACCTTATACATATCAGTTTTCTCTGGTTTGRGTTGAACGCATTCTGCATGGAAGTGAGTGGGAATGATTCCTTGAGGGGAGACTGATAGGCTAAACACAATGTTCAGATAATATCTTAGCTTTGCAATGTTCTCCAAGTTCCTTTCTTTCACAGATGTTCAAATCAATGCTAGAAGCAGTAGCAGCAAACTGAGTTCACCTCTAGTTGCATCACTATGAAATTCCTCCATAGCTTGATGCCTGGTCTGGAAGATGGGGAGGTTTTCCAGCCCATATTGACCACTGCCATCCTGACCACAGATTGATACTTCTCCCTTAGAGAGCTAGAATCAAATATGCTTGAAATACATCTTGTGCAGAAGCCCAGCAAATCTTTTGSATATTATGCATGGTTCTCTAAGGTCATGATCACCTTTCTTGGTATTTGGGCTTGCAAGCAGATGAAGGGCTTTTTGCTTGGTTGCGTTCTAGGCTTGTGTCCCCATGGAAGAAGTCATCAGAGAATGATTCCCTTTAGGAACCAGAAAGGGAAAGATTTCTGATTTCTTCTGTTGTCAGCTCACCTTGTTCTGGTGCAGCTCTCAAGAGGTTTCCATGCAGCATAAGCCTTCTCCTTGTCCCCTCCTCTGAAGCGACCTGTACTTACTCAAAAATAAGGTTTCTTCACTCTCGTTTGAACTATTGGCAGTGATCAGAAATGCAGAACTGTGATCCTGGCTCACAAACATTTGGTCTGAAAAGCAGGAAAAGGACTTCACTGGTGTCTATTGTGTGTTGGCGTCCTTCATAGCAGGGAGAAAGAGAAACACAACAGGACAGAGGAAGCTGTGGTTCAGGAAACCGTCTGATAAAATGGTATTCTTAGGCTGAAGGATGATCTCCTTTTGTGTAGAGGCAGCAACTGATATGCATTGCTACGGCTTCATCTGCCACTTTTCTATCAGTGATATTTGTAACAACAACAGCAAAAAAGATAAAAACAAAATAATGCATTTGCTTTATTTCCAGAAGTTAATTTCTCATGTTTTCACATAATTTTCAAAAAATAGAGTGCTCCTATGAATATTGGGTAAGTTTTCTTTACCCTTTCTCTTTTTTTTTTTTTTTTCTTTTTTCCCTTTCATTCATTAGTTTAAGAGTAGATATCTACTGTGCACTTGCAAACCAGTTATAATTTCTCTAATTTCAGGTCTCTCCTCAGCAAGCATTTGTAAGAGATTTATCAGGATGCTTCTCAGGCTTTTGCAAAACCACAAGCCATCACCAAGACTTGAGCGTATTCCCTTCAGCTGAAACCACAGGCTTGGTGCATAAGTGAAAAAGGAATATCGCGGTCACRAAGACCTGTTAATATATACGTTGGGCAACCACAAAAAGAGGCCCAGCACATACTTTTGGGGCAAGCCATGAGATCAGCTGCACGTGGAGAGGAGCCATTGAAATGTAGATCTTGTGTAAAAGATGTACCCTAAGGTCTACATAGTATTTATTCATTTTCTTTCTTCCATCTGCATTGCCTGGAGGAGTGTGTGCTGCTGCGCCTGGAGATGGGTTGATTATCTTGTCCATGGTGTTGGGTCACAACTTTACCTTTTTTTTTTTTTTATTATTTKCACTTTAAACCCTGGTATTTCAGAAATGTATGGAAAGGATAAGGACTGTTTGGAGCACTAATTTGGGCAGCTCAGAGCTCCCCTTTGTTCTAGTTTTACCGCCCAGCTTTGGATTTCATGCTCTTAACAAACCAATGGCAACTCTCCATTTGCACATCCCTCTTCCAAGACACTGGACATAGATATATGGCAAGTGCAGCTCCACAACCTGTAGCAGCATTTGTGCATCTTTAATAACCATTTTTCCTCTGCTAGCAGGAAATGCTTTCATGCTGGTGGAAGGGCCCTTGTTGACTCATCTCCAGATTGTTTTTATAACGATAATTKTGTCCCACTTTTTTTTGTCAGTCAACCATGTGAAGCGGTTGCTTGGCTGCCCCATAGTCCATGCAGAAGACCCGCTAAATCAGGGTAGGATTTCTGCTGGGTGAGAAGTCCAAGACGCTGTCAGCTTTGCTGGRAACTGTAGACCATCGAAGAGGGAGGCTTTAATCCTTGCTGCCCTGATGTTATCCAGATAAAGGATTACACTAGCTCACTATTATTAGAGTGGGCCATCTCTGTGCAGCAAAATGTCCAGCTTTA